CACATTTAGACCTGGATGGATAGGTGTGGACCATCCACAGTGGCTGTTTCAAGGTTTGCAAGTCTTATTCCAGATGTATGAGGGCATGAAATTAAGCAATTTCAAGATGAATGAGGATTTGTCATAAAATTCTTTGAAACAATGTACTTTTATTACTTTCAAATCTATGTGCTAATACTATTAAGGAATTTCTGAAGAGAAGCCCCCTGGATGTAATTTGATGAGAAATTAGTTATATTTGCAATTAGTGCCAAGCATTTCCACACAAAGAACATTCTGCTGCTCCTCTTTCTAAAGGTCTTTATCTAGTGTTTGTTATTAATTTACATAGTAAAGCTTCCAAGAGTACATAAACACACACTTGGACTCAATAGAAGCCAAATTCATAGAAACATAAAATTATGGATCATAAGAGTTTAGGATTTTTTTAAAATCCAAATTGCAGCACCTAAAGAGCCCCATACAGAGTCTTTAAACAGAGGAGAGGACATGAATGGAATGTTGTGACCACCAGAGAGGAAAGACTTCACTAGAAAAGTAGTTTCTTCATGAGAGAGCCTCCTAAGGAACAGTGGTGATTCTGGGTCCCCAAGACTGTGTTGGATGTGCCCAAGGGATCCTTCTGATGATCAAAAGGGGCTCCAGCTGAGACCTACTAATAGGGGAGGTAGGGCTGGGCACAAGCCAGGTTCTTTCCCAGGAAGGCATTTAGAAGGCTTAAACCACATAATAATAGTCCACCCACTAAGGAAGTCGCCAAGCCTGGACTTGCTAGGTTTTTATTTACTTGAAGAAGTTTCTCTAGCTCTGAATGTATAAAGCATAGTTCATTATGCCAGACCTTCCCCTTCCACCCCCAACTTTGTATTTGTTAAGAAAATTCTCTGGAATTTAGTGTTTTCCTGGGCGGGAAGCAGGGGAGCAATTGTGGGACTTAAGTTATGAGAGTAGCAGCCCTCAAAAGAGTGCAGAGTTCTCCAAAGCCCTCAGATTACTATGTGGGGAGGACATGGCTGTGGAGATGGAAGCTCATGATGCTGTGTGCCCTCCAACTCGCTGTGGAGGCCTTGGCTTGGCCAGAGCTGTGGTGGGATGGAAGTGGTCTCAGGGGCAGAGATGACTTGCTCCACAGATCTAGGGCAGTAGGTTGGAAGGAAGCTCTGCAGTAAGGACATGATGCCCTACCCTTCCTACACAATATTGGTGGAGCAGCTCCTCCTGCATCAGATCAATGCACGTCTCTGTTGTCATCTCGTTTTAGTAGTTTCAGTTCTTGGTTGAGGTCAGCTGTCAACCACATGTGTAGCCAGTCACACTTCTGTATCTTCAGATTCTGCATCGGGATATCACCCAAGAATGGATCAGAAATATTTGGAAACAAATGTGTCTGTGCTAAACAGGCATAGGTTTTTCTTGTTGCTGTTCCTAAACATTACAATAAACAGTTATTAACATTGTATTTACATTGCATTAGGTATGATTAGTAATTTAGAGATGATTTAAAGTACTGAAGGGTATGTGTGGCAATGTGTAAACATTATACCACTTTATTGAACGGAGTTGAACATCTATGGCTTTTTATATCTGTGAAACTCTCCCCCCTCAATAGCCAGGGATGGAAAACTGCACGGCAATTCCAGGCATGACCAGGGGTGTGAAAGAATGATATAGTGATGTGGCGGTGGCTGAGGGCTCCTTGGGATGAAGTAGTCAGGAAGACATTTCCGTGAGGCGGCTTTCTCAGCCCTGACCCGAAAGGCAGGAAAGAACCAATGGAGAGTTTCTGAGTCAAGAGCAAGCTGCTCACACAGCTGAGGTGTCCATGTTTGGAGCCCACCAGGCCAGAGGGGGAATGTGGAGAGCAGGAGGGTGCAGTGGTCATCCTGGCTACAGTGTGGACTTCAGGGGTATAGTGTAGGGGCACTGGGAGGCCATGGTGCTGGGCCAAGTCAGAAGGGGATTTGGTTCAGGACAGATGACGATGGGTGCTTTGACAGCTCTGGGAGATGGGCTGCCTTTGGCCCTGGGGTGAGCAGCACAGGTGATGCTGCCGGGCACTTAGTGGAGGACTGTGGTCTGCTCTGAGGTGGAGCCTGTTCAGGAAAGAGGCCCAGGTGTGTGGATGGTGGAGCAGAGGGCTTGTGAATGAGGAGCAAGAGTTCTGTCTTAACCCCAGTGAATCCGCTGTGCCTATTTGCATCTGAGAGGAGGCAATATGACCATGCCACTCTTGGGACTCTGTATGGCTATTCCACTCGAGAGTTTGGTCAGACCTAGAGAGCATCTAGTCTGAGGTGGATGTTAAAAACATAGCAACTGAATTAACTTGCTCAGAGTATGTATAGAAAGAGAATGAAAGAGATTAGATGTGAAAATTGAGACTTTTCTACACTGAGACTAATTACACTATCACACATGTTCAACCTGCGATCCACCATTTTTTTAAAATGCTATAATTGAAATATTTTAAAAGGAACCTTTGATGCTTACATAAACTATATTAACTATTTTATATTTGGTCCAAGAGAATTTCTCTTCATTCAAAAAAAAAAAAAAAAAAAAAAAAGCCCAGAAGGCTAAGAAACAGTAGGCTGCAGGTTAGATGTAGCTAAGGGATCATAGCAGTGAGGGGCTGGCCCCTCAGGTGGAAGGCTTGTTACCCTGACTGAGGAGCAGGACATTGTCGCTGAGGAAGCACTTCATTGTGTAATATGCTGCTGAGAGGTGAGATAAATGGGCACAGACAGTGACTACTGGATCTGGCAACACAGAGGCCACTGTCAACCTTAAAAGAGTAGACAGTGGCATGGATAGAACTCTTATCAGATTGGGCTGGGGAATCAATGGAAAGTGGGACTGGGGGCCACAGCGACTCTTTGGGCAAGTTTTCCTATAAGCAGGAGCTGAGAACAAGGGTTGAGAACTGGCTGGAGAGACACATGGGGTCAAGGAAAAGACAGGTAGTTTGCTAGAAGTATGACAATAGAGGAAAGGACAAAGAGGTAGAAGTGCTGAAAGAATTTGCAGAAATGGCCTGGGGTTGGTGATGTTTTAAACTATTCCCTGTGGATTGTACATTGTAGTCCCTGGCTTGGACTCCCTCCAAATTACTTCTAAAGTTTAAACATTAGTGAGTAGATGCTTCTGAGAGGCACTGGGCTTTCCTCTGGCTATAGAACAAATTAAGTGGAGCTCATTCAGCCACGGTATGGGAATGGAGGCTTTGGGGAAGGGTCATGAATTGATTGACCTGGTCTTACCTGGTGGATTTGTTAAGTGAGCAGTCATCTCCAAGCCCACTGGGGCTAAGTGTAGTTGTAGGTCATGGAGACACTGTGCAGATAATCTCCCTCTCCCTTGTAAGAGCTTGCCACCGTGGAGGTGGGCACCAACATGCCAACAGTTTAGGGTGGGATAGGCAGCTCAAAGCAGAATTGTAGCTTCCTAAATGCATGGTATAAATCCATTATTGGAGTATATTTGGTGTGTGAGTTCCTTGAGGAAGAGATTCTGGAAGAAAGCAGGGTCAAGGGAAGAGAGATGGAGGGTAAGGGGTTGCAGCAGCATCTCAAGGGAAGAAGGGACCAATCTGGACACCCCAAGGTTCTCATAGCCTCAACATTAGGAATCTGTGGCAATATCCATTTGGAGGTGTCTTAGTTACTTTTCTCATTGCTGAGACAGAAATCATCTGACACCAAGGTTAAAGGAGGAAAGGTTGACTGTAGCTCACAGTTTAGAGGTCTTAGTCCATAGTTGGCTGCTCCAAAGCAGGGTGGAGTGGCAGAGGGACATCCGAAAGGCGAAACAGTTAATGGTGGGCAGAAGGCAGAAAGGCAGAAAAATAGCGAAGTAGTAAGCAAGCAAGTAGTAACAGCAGCAAGCTACCCTCTTTCCCTTATATACTATCCAGGCTACCCTTAGGGCAGGCACTACTCATTCAGGGTGGGGCATCCTTAATCCTAGCTTTGTGCTGTGAATCAATTCCAGATTGATTCCACACTTAATCCCAGAATCACACTGTTGATCCAGCCATCTCTGTAAAGCCCCACCTATGACAGCATGAGGCTTTGGGGAGACATCTAGACACAAATCAGAATAGGAGCTATGGTATTTCCTCTCAGTGAATGCCCTGTGGCTTCTGTGAAAGTGAGCTCCATCTGTGTGAGGAAGCCCATGGGCTGTGTAGCCACTCATAATGCTGATCCCTGGGCCCAGGGAGAGTAGGTTCCAAGACCTCAAGAAGCCTTCTTTGCCTGGTTTTAAGAATGGAGAACTCAGCTGGGAATGGTGACATGCACCTGCGATTCCAGCACTCTGAGATAGAAAGGAGGCAGGAAGAATGCAGGTTTGAGCTTAGCCTGGGCAATTAAATGATTTAGTGAGCTCCTGTCTCAAAATTTTAAAAATAAAATGGTCTGGTGACATGCACCTATATGTCCAATTTTTATGCAAAGGTCCTATATCCAATTTTCTGTACTAATAAAAAGAGATATGGAGGAACTTGGCTCAGGTTCCTGTCTGTGCAAGCAAGCTGTTTGTGACCCAAAGCATGCCATTTAAACTGTTGAGTCTGCTCCCTCACCAGAAAAATAAGAACTAAGACTGTGCCTACTCCCCAGGGTTGTTGTTGGAGTGCACTGAGGTAACCCACTCAGCATCACTGTCTTGTGTCTTGGGAGCCTTGTAGGTGTGAGTTCTGGAGCCAAATGCCTCGTTTTGGCTCCAGTTTTTTGTTCTGTGTCTTACTAGCTACAAGACCGAGGACAGGGTCTTCATGCCTTAGCTTCCTGGGCTGCACAGTGCGGAGATGATTGGCACCTGCCTTCTGAGAGGTCTAATGAGGGGTTAGTGAGGACGGAATAAGGAGTGTGCATAATTGCTAAGAGGGCAGTCGAGGCCCCTGTGAGTGCTGGTTGCCAGCTGTGCTTAGCATGACCTCGTGCCCGGGCAGATGGGGCCATATTTGCAGCTGCTTGATGGTTTTGTCTGTTCTCCAGTTCCGCCTGGTGGTGAAGACAGCCCTGAAGCTGCTGCTCGTCTTTGTGGAGTACTCGGAGTCCAATGCACCTCTTCTCATTCAGGCTGTCTCTGCTGTTGACACCAAGAGAGGTGAGCAGTCCCACTCCTTGTGTCATCAACGTGAAAAAGCCTAAGGTAGGGAGGCTTCCAGGTCTAACAAGTTTGAGACTGAATGAAAGATTAGCAGAATTCCACTGGTGAATACATCTAGCTGCAGGAGACCATTTTTTAGGATAGTGAGTATTCAGAGATCAGGGCTGGAATGTGGTATGATCCCAGGCATGTGTCAACCTACCCAGGCCAGGAGCACCGTGTACTGTGCTTGTGTTTATCACCAGCCAGCCTGCACCACTGAAACCGCAGAGAGGCAGCTCCTTCTCCCCTTTCCTGTCTGGTCCAGGTAACTTCCGCCCCTCTTTCCCTACCCCCTGCACACTTCATTGGTTCTCTTCCTCTTATTTATTCCCTGAACCTCTCTCTTCTCCAGGCCACCCCTGCCTTGCTCACGCTGCCTTCCACCTGGTGTCCCTTGCCACCCTTAAGTACAATGAGAATATTCTCAAATCCAAATTTGGTCATCTCAAACCTGCCAATAACTTCCTGGTGCCTGCAGCATGAAATTCAACCAAATTCTTCACCTGATTTATGGGAAAGCCTGCTGTCTGTCCCTTTCTCCCACCTGGCCTGTCCCAACTCTCCCTAGCTTTCTTTTTTCTTTTCTTTCTTTTCTTTTTTTTTTTTTCTTTTCTTTTTTTTTTTTTTTTTTTTTTTTTTTTGCGGAACCAGGGATCGAACTCAGGCCCTTGTGCTTGCCAGGGAAGCGCTTATTCCACTGAGCCATCTCCCCGGCCCCTCTCCCTAGCTTTCTCAGGTACTTGCAAAGCCCCATGTGTCTCTCCTTTTTCCTGTGTCATCATTGTCTGTCTGTCCACAGGTGTGTGCCCTGTGCACAGGAAGCTTCCCCGCCTCAAGACATGGTACCCAGCTCTCCAGAGCAGGCAGGCATGGCATACAGCTCTGGGGTAGAGTAGAGCATGCTGGGTGGCTCCTAGTGAGACCTGAGCCTAAATGCCAGGGCTGGCTTTTTTTTTTTTTTATAATTTTATGGAGAAATAAATAGCAATGAGACAGTTTCAAAACCGATTAGTAGGATAGTTTCAATAATTAATATATTAAGGGGCTGGGGAGATGGCTCAGTGGAATAAGTGCTTCCCTGGCAAGCACAAGGATCTGAGTTCAATCCCCGGTTCTGCCAAAATAATAATAATAATAATAATAATTAATACATTGCATATTGTTGTCTTCTTAGTGGTTATTCATAGTACAAGATGCAGACATGATGTCCTGTCCACAAACACTATTAATACAAATCTTTCTATTGATTGAATTAAGAGAAAGTAGCTGTATATCTAGCCTATTTTGAATATACAAATACAAAATGGTCCTTCATTTGTATCCCCTTTTTTGTTTAGTTTTGTCAGAGATGAGTATTCCATTGTGATTTAAATATTGTAGGTGAGTGAATTCAGTAAAATATTCCAATATAGAACCCCCCCCCTCTCTCTCTGATTGTTTTCCTTCTGAAGAAGAGTCAATAATTACTAGCACCATTTTTGTAAAGGCTAAAGTAAGGACAAAATTTTAACTCTTCTTTTTTCTTTTCATGGATGTAACAGTAATGCTACTGTAGAAAGTTTGGAAAAACTATTAAAGAATACAACAAATCACTTTGTTGTTGGTACTGGGAATCCAGGATGGCTCATGGCTCAGAAACTGTGTCTAACTTTCCCCAAGCCAATCCGTTAGGCTTAACATGCTCTCAGTGGGGCCATACATGTAGGGCTGCCCCAACAGGTAGCTTGTACTACCAGTGGCACACACATGACTGTGCTATCAGGCAGCTTGTGCCACCCAGGTGGACTGTCACATGGCACCCAATGGGATAGTCATGATGCGCCACTGGTGGCTCAAGCCAACAAGAGCACGTTGTGGCTGAAGTTAGGTTCTGGGAAACAGGCATCTCTTTCCATTCATCCTTGGAGGTTTAGTATTTCATTCTCAACTCTGAGGATTCCTTTAGGACAACTAATAGGCTGCGTATCAGCTTCTTTGTCCTAAATTTCAAGTAACCCCAAGAGCCTTTGCCATGGGAGCTGTGTTAATGTGAGAGTCTTCTCATGACCATGGCTTTATTTGGCTTTGGGGTGTACAGATTCCTTTCTTGAGCTCCCCATTGCATAAAGATATGTCCTATGGGTGGGAATGATCTTGAGGTGAACACAAGGCACCACACCCTGACATCTAATACTCAGTCATAGCTCCTAGCCACAGGCACTCTACTGTACTGAGTCACCACAAGACAAAAGCGATAGCCATCTTTTCTCAATTAGTCAAAATTTAAAAAACAGAGCAGCTAATGGATTGTTTTCTTAGCTCCATGGGTTTTGCCTATAAAATTTCTTAAACTTTTGGCAACGGCTTGCATCTGTCTGCTACTGCGCACTAGCAGCTCAACAGCAAGGGAATGCAGCACTCGTGGAAAAACTCAGAAATAGCTTATCATGCAAGGTTCACTAATATGTTTCTTTATGGACATGTGTGGTCTTGGCTGTGATTTTATAATACATACATATAACATCATCCTATTTTACTGCTAGTAAAATCGTTCCAGAATCCTATGATGAAATTAAACATATAAATATGTCATGGTGTTCTGCAGAAAGCAACATAAATTGCAGCTGTGTTTCTACCTAGCAGGGTTAGAAGCAGCAATCCAGGCCCCTCACAGCTGGGTCACAGAGCAGAGGTGCCAGAGGTGCCCAAGAGACAACCGAGCATGTCCATTCACACACACATTTACAAATAAGCCATAAATTTTACTCCTCATAGTGGTTTCCTTAGCAGGAGTAAATGGCACATTAAGTGTAGACAGTTGTCTCTCTCTGTAAATAGAGAAGAAAAAACTCAGATTTAAGGAATTGGCAAATAAAACCAACAAAATAAACTATGGGTCCTCAAAAGTCATTAGCACCTAGAGCACATGAAGTCACTCCAGAATAAATGACTGGGTTGTTTTACAAACATCATGCATGGCTACTCTTCAGTTAACCAGAAGGCTTTGTTCTGAGGGTTGGCCAAAGCAAACCACTTAAAGAGCAGGGATAAAGCTGAGGGATCAAAGGTCATCACAGTCAGCAATTAATATTTATGAATGAAGGGAACTTTTAACTGCCCCACTACACCCGGGCAGTACTTCAGCACAGGAGCTGGAATGGAAAAGTGGATTTGATTAGTCCCTGGGCCTGGTATGGCATTACGCCTGTCTGCCCAGACCCCTGCAACCTCTTCTCATTTGTCTGCATCTTCAAGTCTCTTTCCCCTCCTGGTAGACAGGGCCTGGCAGCTAGAAAGACAGACAGCAAGACTTATGCATGCCCTTGAGAGAGTTTCTTTTTGTCATTTGACCACTTTTTCCTTGAGTTCTACCCTGAGGTGGTCAGTGGAAGCTGGTTGAGAGGCCACCACTCCCTGGGCAATAGGACCTTGCCTCTGACCATAGGGTTTGTTTCTCCTGAGGGTAGGATTAGGGACCAGACAGGGAAACTCACTCTGAAATTTCAGTCATAACTCTTGGATCTCACTAATTTAGTTCAGCCCAGCTTTTGAAGAAGTTTTATTTTTCATTTGAATATAAAGCGATGGATATGATGTAATTCCTAAACATGTGTACCACACATGATTAACAGGGGAAAACTCTAGCTCTCCTTTAAAGTAATACTGTCTCTGATTCTGTTCAATAATATATTGATCGCTGAAGAATGCACAAGGCATGGTGAAAGCCCGAGGTTGGTGGAGTTCCAGCTCCATCTCAGTATCCTTTAAGCAGAAATGTCTTTGCAGGGTGTTGATCCCTTACATAGAAAGATGTGGAATGTGCTGTGAGGAGCTTCCGTGTAGGGACAGAATGTTCAGTGTCTTACTTTCCTTTAGGTTTAATTCATGTATTTAAGAGGAGGGTAAGAGGCATGAAGGCCACAGCTAAATTTTGGAAACAACCCAAATGCCCATCAGCTGAGGAATGGATAAAAAAGATGAGGAACTTTATAAAATAGAGTATTACTCGGCGATAAAGAAAGATAAAGTCAAGGCTTTTATAGGTAAATGGATGCAACTAGAGACCACACCCATGAGTGAAATAATCAGACATGCATGTGTAAACATTGTGTTGTCTCCCTAGTGTAAGAACCTGAAAGAGTAAATAAAATCTGAAAGGTACAATAGATACTGTGAAAGGAAAAGAAACTGCTGAAAGTAAATAACAACTGGAATGAGGGAAAGGAGAAAAGAAAGGAAGGAAAAAAAGTACATATATATAATAGCTAAGGTAATTCTACCAATTTTTATTGGCTTATTGAAACAGTAAATGTTTAAATTTTTGACCAATTTTGCGTGCTTATATCAGATAATCTGAGTTATCTTTGCGGCCCCTGTTTTCCAGTCTTAAGACAGGGAGTGAACATTCATCTCGGCAGTGTATCAGTATGTGTGTGTTTCCAGATTCCAAAACCTTAAATGATAATAGGGAAATCAGATAGCCCAGCTGAAGAACATGTTTTTCAGTTAAATTAAATCAGCATTTGGGTGTTTTAATCATTGTGGATTAGATGGTGCGCACATGTGCCTGTGTCTACATGGGTTGGGGAGGATGTGGCCTGGCTACTTCCTCCCTTGGCTGTCTACCTCTGACTCTTGCTTTCCATTTCTCAGGCCCACTTGGGCTTCAGAGTAAGCGACCAGAAGCACCGGACCCCTGAGTGTCATTAGCAATGCTCAGTCCCATACTTTCTGCCCTGTGCACTGACTCTACTCTCTGTGCACTTTGCTGAGCTTTGGGGCTGTATGTGAAAGACAGAAGCTACGCTTGTTGCGACACAGGGAGGGTCCTAGAGCCCTGCAACTCACCTGGACAGTGAGAAGCCAGGCCTCCAGAGCATAGCCATCGACTGTCATGATGGCTGAAATAGTCACTTTGCTGAACTTCAAAGAGCAATTACATCAGTGTGGACTTCAAAGGAGTCTGACATCAAATAGGCAGGAGATAATTTGGCCATTAGCAGAGGAAGGAGCTTATCTTCGTGTTCAGTAACGAAGGATCATAAAAGATTGCTTCTGACTGACTGGTTCTCAGCCAAGGGAGAAGACTTTCTGTTGACTTGGGAGAGCCAGTGACTACATGAGACCACATCTGTCTGCCACATCTTATATGGGGGTCTATTATTTAATCTTTTTATCTTCTCTTCTTTCCTTACTATGTACATCTACCTTCTGTTTCTTTTAAAACTGTTCTAGTTTAACCCACATCAGACACTTAGAGACCTCCAGTTCATCATCACTTGGCACACATTATATTGAGCACATACTAAGTGCCAGGCACTGTTCTAAGGGCACAGCAATGAAAAAGATAGCTGCTGTCTCTGCCCTTAGGACCTTTTATCTGAAGCCCAGGAGCAGCTCTGACATAGTCCACCCAAAAGGTCAGCCCTTGGAAGCTATTATATTTAGGTTGATGACAAATTTGCTTTTATCAAGCAAAAGTAAGCAATACCCTTTTGAGGTATTTGTGGTGAAAGGAAAGAGTTTCATGTCTCAAACCATCAAGCCAGGGTGGGGCAATGCTTACTTTACTTCAAGCATTTACCTTGAAACATATAAAACTATTGCAGGGGATGATTCCCCTTTGTAGCCTTGCCCTGGGCCTGGTGGTCCTGGGAATGAAGCATTTTCCAGCCCCTTCCTGGAGCCTGGGGAGACCCATACAAGCCCCTCACCTACAGAGCCCACCCAGGAGCCACCTCCTACCCTAAACCCTGCAGCCATCTCCAGTAAAAATCACCTCCTTCACTGAGTGGCAGGCTTAGCTAAATGCTTCTGGCCACTTTTCAGCTGCTGCCTCTGTGGCAATATCCGTTTTTTCTCTGTGTCTAACCACTTCATTAGTTTGCAAAACTGGTGAGGGCAGCTTCCCGCTAGACTTTGTACCTTGCTGATGCTTAGACAGTGTTTCTATGCCAATGGAATAGAGGTAATATTTTTCTGTTCTTGACATTGCTGCTAGACAGGTATGTCACTGTTACTACTTTGAGTCAATGCTAGAGGGAATAAAGATCTTTTTCCCAAGTGCTGATAAACACTCAAAAAATAATTACGAAGTATTTTTCCATTCTGAAGTATATAACCCAAAAGTTACACATAAATGTGTTTTACAAAATTATGTATTTACTATAAAGCAAATAAATAGGTGTCCTAATCCTGATGAGCATATAGTACTTTGAAGAGGACAAAGATGATGTAGTACAGTGTTGGCCGCTACAAAATACTTACTAGAAGCATGTACAGATCCACCTAAAGGGTATCATTCACACTTGGAAACTTGCTAACTGAGAGGCATATCCTTGGATCAACTTTGACCTGAGTTGAATACAAACTGTTGTTGAATGTCTGTTTCTAATGAATTTTGCCTTAATCATAGGCATCAAACCCTGGACGAATATCATGGAAATTCTGGAGGAGAAAGATGGAGTTGACACGGAGCTGCTCGTTTATGCGATGACTTTGGTGAACAAGGTTGGTTATTGTGCATTGCAGGTTGAATTGTCATCCCAGAAGATATGACAGACTCATTCCTTTGGGCCTTTGAATGTGACCAGTTTAGAATTAGAATCTTAGCAGATGTAATACAGTTAAAATGAAGTCATTAGCGTAGACCCTTAAGACCTTTTATCTGAAGTCCAGGAGCAGCTCCGACATAATCTACCCAAAAGGTCAGCACTTTTGGTACCCATTAGGTACCCATTTGGTACCCATTAGGGTACCAATCAACTTGGTATGATTGGTTTTCTTATAAGAAGGGGGAAAGAGACACAGAAGAGGACAATGTGCAAACATGAACATAATGAAGACAGCCAAGTGCAGACAGAGGCAGAAGGCAGAAAAATGTATCTATGAGCTGAGGGATGCTGATGCTTGCCAGTAACTGATCTAGAATCTTCCCATGGAGCCATCAGAGACAGCATGACCTTGTTAATACCTTAATATCAGACTTCTCAATTCACAATGTCTTAAGACACCTAGTATTCTGGTACCTAGTTATAACAGCTCTGGGAAACTAATGTCATGTGAAAAAATTAAATTTCCCTCTAGCAGCCACACCATGTGGACCTTCATCATGGTGGCTGGAACCACAGCAGCCATGCGCTTCTTCAAGGGAGAAAGCCCTTTATACAGTGTGTACACTCAGCGGCACATACCTGTGAGGGGCTCCAGGCATCTGCACACTTTTATGCTTTGGTCCTTTCCAGTAAAACCAAAAACACTGATAGCAAGAATTTTGTGATGCTTTTCCTAGCAAGACACATTGTCCTTAAGAATTAACTTTAAAGAAATAGTTCACAAGTCAGGAAAAAATGAGGCTTTTGCTTCACTGGCTATATTGAATTCTGACTCCTGGGTTAAAAGGAAGATTCCTGAGGCTGCATCTCACCCTTTTTATGTGAGGCTGACCATATCTTTGTGCTCCTGTTCCTCCCACCAGGTGTCTCCTGGTTGAGCATTTGTAGGGAAGTAGCAATTCTTAATACCTATCCTTAAGGGTGGTTCTGAGGCAGTGGATCCCAGGATGGCTGGAGATGAGCCAGGGTTGAGGCTGGAGTTTTCTCACTGGAATTATCACACCCCGGACTTCCTGTGGACTCTTTCTATGCTTTCCAAGGTGCTGCTGTCATTAAATCTGCAAAAAGATCCAGCTCCTGCCATAAAGCTGAAGAGATGTTTCTCCTAATGAACTAAGACATGTCTGTAGACAGTAGTATAGCTCTGCGGAGCAGCTTTCCCCACTTAGACTGTCATGCCCACTCTAAGGATTGAAACTATACAGGCTTCTCTCTTCTCAGCAGGTAGGTAATTGGCACAAAGTAGCTCTGATGCAGACCCCAATGTTCAGAACTACAACATTAGTCCGTATGAGTGGGGTAGGATAGCTTTAACCATGATCCAAATGCCAAGTGGAAATAAGCACAAATACTCATTACCCATATGTTACAGTAACTCCCAAATAGATTGAAAAGTTCAATGTAACACATGAAATCGAGGGGAAAAACAATAGAAAGAACTGAAGGTTTAGTTGGTCTCTGGATAAATCGTCAACGTCACTTGAGTGACAGACTCACTCTCCAAAGTGTGTTTCCTGGAGAATAGCAAGGCACTGAAATCTGGAATACACGTGCGGTGGCAGGCTGTAGGCTTATTTGAAGAGGTTGGGGCAAGGAGAAGCTTAATTTTAGAAGAAAAATAAAGGGGAAAAACCCCCGTATGCTGTTCTGCAATGAAGACCATTCTTTTTATGTTGACTTGTAGCAGGGTGTAATGCAAGCACATCGGTGGAAGGCGCATTGTTAGGCAAGTATGCTTATGCGAACAGCTTGTCTGGAACACTGCATTTTGGGGGGTTCCTTGACTAGTCTTAACATAGGTGAGTGTGCTTGGCATCGCCCCATGTGGCCTCCTATGTGGCCACATAGTGGCCCCTGTGTGGCTTCCAGCTCCATTCTGCTTGGTTTTGACATACATAACTCCATTTTGGTGCCGACAGCTCTTGTAAAGATTACTTTAATAATGAAACCAGTGAAAATATGCCAAAGGGGATTTATATATGTCACTGCATACAGTTCTAAATGGTCTTGTTTCTCAAATGAAAAACCACACATTACAGCTAAAGGCAAATGACAAGCCGGAAATCATTTGCCAAAAACTAGGGCAAAAAAAAAAAAAAAAAAAAAAAAAAAAAGTCCTTAAGAGATTAAGAACCCATTAGAAAAATGAAAGACATTAAACAACTAAGAATAAAAGCAACACATAGTGAAATAATAAGATATTTCCCCAGGTCCTATTGACAGTGATTGCTTTTCATTAACCTGTCACTTGTGGCTGAGTATGTGGGAAATTTCTACAGCCCCAATGGGAGGTGAGCACAGCATTTGTGATGGATAATCTCAAAAATTCGTTTATTTTCAAAATGATTTGTGAACTTTCTTTGCTGTGTGATTTGTAGTCATTTTCTGTTGTCTGTTTAAAAAGCAAGGTCATGTATTTTCTATCTTTTTCAGTCACTGACCTTGTTTCCTAAAACCATGAACTCAACAACAATGGCAATTGCACTCTTCCCAGAGTTACCTGTCATGACATTATCCACTTGATTGGTAAAGGCCATGTCCAGCTGTCCTTGGGATTCATCTCAGCCACACCCAGACAGCATGGGCACAGTGTTGCCAGTCCCTGGCACACGCCTGGTGCATGTCACACTCTGCTGGATGTCACGTGGCATTTGATGTCCAGGAATTGCTGGTTCACCCCTTCTGTCTCACGCTGTCTAACATGTTCTGCCCAGGAAGATCCCATCCTCCAAATGTGGCCTCTTTCTTTGAAAAGGTCCACAGACCCCTGCTGCTCGCAGGGCATCTGTTTGCTTGTTGAACTGGAGTGTTTATTGCCCCAGTGAGTAAAATGCTCTGAGATACCAACCAAATGACAACCTGAAATGTTCAGATGGGTCTGGAAAAATGCAGACTCTGAAATCTGGGAAATTCTATTGCGAGGTGGGTGGTTTCTAACTAGTATTGATTTCAACAAAATAAACAATGGCATAATAATGTGGAATTTAAAAATTTGACATTTTCATGATAAAGCAAGTCCACTGAATCCTAGCCTGCCTTGGGTTCTGAGACTGAGGTAGCTTTCTTTGTTAACCAGGAATGTTAAAGAGACTCGCTACCCACCTCCTTCCTCTTTCCTATCTCCATCCCATGTCTTGAGAAGGTCAGAGGGCAGGTCAGAAATTAACCATTTTCCCCCTGCACACTGAAATGATAGAATGCCATCTTGACCCAGCTGAAATTCCCTTAAGGAGGATCAGCCACCTGGGGGGGGGCTCAGTTATGGACCACTCTGTAGATTGGGATGGGGCAGCTGAATGGCAAAAGGGATTACTTGGGGGGCTGACTGAGGATGTTCACAGGAGGCAGGGCTCTAGGGGGCCCAGGGGAGAAGAGCTGCTCTGTTAGGGCAGGAGATAATTAACCCACACCAATTCAAATTGAGCTTTTGCTGTATTTTTCACATTTGCTGTCATTGCTTTCAAAATACCATATAGTAAAGTGGACATTTATGAGATTCACACACATAAGGATTACCTTCACTCTTGGGGAACTCACTAGTTCTACTTTTTTCCCCAAATCTTCACATGTTCTTTTATAAGGCTATCGTGATTCCTCAGTAACCCCTGACAACTACTGCATAGTCTCTTATTCTAATTTTGTGTTTTCAGGAATGTCAGAGGGGTCATAGAGAATGTAACCTTGGGGGCCAGTGTCTCCCAGTGTAGTGTCTGTTGGGCTTGTGGGTGCTTTGCGTCAGAGCCCTCTGCTTCCTGCTGCTCTGTAGAATTCTGTTACATAGGTGCAGCACTATTTGTTTATCCATAGTGGATTTGGGTGCTTACAGCCCTTGCCATCCACAGATGACCCCACTGTAAATATTGGGCCAGGCTTCACCACATTCATTTTATTCTGCATGCAAGATTAGATAAAATCAGTGAAAACCTAGGGAGAGGAAAATACTCTCTAGGACAGAATTTCCATCTGGGAGATGACTGTGATTAATCATGTGTTACAGGCCCTGGCAAGACAAAATTAGGGAAAATGAGGGAGGGGGCACCAGTTGTTAGGCAGCTGCGTTGCGGCTAGTGGCATCTAAGGACAAAGGCATCAAGAAACATTTGCTTCCCAGACTTCTGTGGCAAAAGTGCCGTGTTTGCCAGATGCAGGCGACTTAGCAGTGAGAGTGATCAAGTAGAACTGGGCAGGGAGGCTGGGGGCTGGGCGAAATGAGATGCAATTAGCTGATCATGTTACAGAATCAGCCAAAACTAAGTGAATGTGTGTTTCGACACTGTATGTCCCCCTTCTGCACAGGAGGAAGAGGAGGCTGTATTGGTGGTGGAATGCCACCATCTGCCCTGTAGCCATGTGTGGAAGCTGAGGTGCCTGCAGGCTTAGCCCCAGCCTGAGTCTTCCCAGAAGAAAGGTTAAATGACTTCTTAGCGCCCCTGGTCTCTGGCCTATTATAAAGTAGGGGCTATTTGAGTCTGTTTAGCTCTATGGGTCTAAATGTTTAATTATGTAATAGAGATGCCTCCTGCTCTCCATGGCTGGACTCACTAAGGCAGTAGGGATTATTAGGTCCACGATTTTAACCCCCTGCAAACTCCTGAGTTAAAGAACCTCAGCTTAGTATGGCCAGCCAAATAGCTCAACAGATTAAAGCACCTGCAAGCAGGCAAAGGAGCCCGGGTTTCTATCCTGGGCCTACCATGCTGGCCCTACCCTTTAGGTGCGATGAGACAGCAGTCGAGACTGGATGTGGTGGCACGTGCCTGTAATCCCAGTTCTTGGGAGCCTATAAACAGGTGGATTACTATGAGTCCGATCTAGTAGTAGACCTTGAATACCCTGTAGACCCTTCCCCAAAATACAACCCCCCCACAAAACAAACAAACAAACAAACAAACAAACAAAAAACTCAGCTGACTCCAGACTGGAAGGAAGTAAGAAAGAGGAGAACTAAAGATATTCCTGGAGATTGTCTGCCTCCTGCTGGCCCCTTGGCAATGCAGAAAGTTTTCTATCCTAGATCCCAAGTGTCAACTTGCTTTCTCACTTTGTACATTTTGCAGTCAAAATGTAATCACTACCTATGTGCCCTCCTCAGACCTCATATTGTGTTTATACTTTTTAATCGTTTAACAAATTCTAGAGTTTTCACCCAAACCAGAAGATGATGTTGTTCTGATGATGGGATTCTTTGATTGTATGATTTTCAGTGTGTGCTGGAAGCAGGCTGTAGCTCAGCAGGCAACAGTCACCTGGTAGTAAATATGTTGATGTCACAGTGGTGTGTGCTTCCCACATTTGGCCCCATCTGGGCGAGTACCTGCTTACTACAGCTTCTAATTCCCAGTCTCTTGCTGTGTGTCCTTGTTGAAACCCTGAGTAGTTAAACAATCACATAACCATTTTTTTTGTACCAGTTTCTGGTCTCAAAGTGGATTATATCTTCTTTGCTCAGCATAAAAGGAAAAAGGCACTCTTTGGGTTATGAATATGGACATTCTTTCCAGTACTGAGAGCTCCCATATGAAAATATCAGAGAACATGGAACTGGAAAATGATCCTTTTGAGGGTGTTGGTCTTATGTCTTCTGAGGCAAGTTATTATGTTTAAAATCATTTTGAAATGTATACAGTGTTGCAAAATGCAAAGGTGGTGAAATAAGTAGGGAATAAAGACAAGCATTGGAGATTCCAGGCAGAATTCCTTGCATAGAATCCAGGAGTGCTGTTATCTGTGGTGTTACTGAAGCCTTTTCAGTGACTGCCTGTTGCCTCTGGCAAATCCCTTCCCTCCTCTAGCCTTCATCCATCCATCCATCCATCCATCCATCCATCCATCTATCCATCTCTCTCTCTCTCTCTCTCTCTCTCTCTCTCTCTCTCTCTCTCTCTCTGTCTCTGTCTCTGTCTCTGTCTCTGTCTGTCTCTGTCTCTTCCTCCCTCCCTTTCTCCTTCCTTCCCTCCCTTCCTTCTCTCTCTTTCTCTCAAATTTTTATTAGAACATGTTCGCTGTACATGACATTTGTACTTCTCATGTGGAGCCAGCGTGAGTCCAGAATGTATCTTCATGCCTCCTTCATTCCCTTTCTCCCTTCTTCTATGTCTCGATCCCCTTCACATTTGAGAAGGAACATTTGCCAGCTTTCTCTTACCTGTTATTTTGGTCTTTCTTTATAGTGTGATTTCCTCATATCTGAGAAACCATGCAATATTAAGCTTGTGCATCAGATTTATCTCCCTTCACATTATGATCTCAAGGTGTGGTGGTAAGGAGCTTGTAACAAATCTCTTCCTTCTAGTTGTGAGCAGGTGCTTTGTCTAAGATTCTCCCCTCCTTAAGAGACTTCAAAAAGAAGTCAGCTTCCTTTTTCTTGGATTACTTTTTCGTTTCTTAGTTGCTACTTTGCCACCTCTCATGTTTTCCTCAGCTTTGTAGACCAAGGGAAGGCCCAGATGAATTTAAGTAAAAGAGAATCATTAAATTATCATAACTCCAGGTGTTGATGTATTTAACATAATAAGAACAGCTAATAATGAGGCACATTGGTTTTCTATTGCCACATGACACATTGCCCCAAAGTTAACAGCTTATAACTAGGCACATTTAGCCTCTCAGTTGCCATGGAGCAAGAACCTAGGTGTGCTGCGCCATCTGCTCTGGGTCTCCCAAGACTGTAGTCAAAGTGTTCCTAGAGCTGTGGTCCTCTCTGAGGCTTTGGACCCCATCTGGGCTCCTCTGGTTCTTGGCAGAACTCGTTTCCTTGCAGTTGTGGGACTCATGTGGCCTGCTGCTGCTTTGAGGCCAGCAGGATAAAAAGAGGGAAGACCTAAGTCCAATTATTGATCAGGATAGCATCGTCTTTGATCAAATCAAATCTAAGGCTTGGGACCCTAATTATGATACCCTCCTGCACTTTTCCATTTAGCATAACTTTAGCATAGATGCGCCATCCCACCTGTGGAGTATCCAGCTCACACTACAAGAGAGGAGCTCGTACAGCACAGGTACACCAGGGGTGAGAATCTTGGGGTTCATTCTGAGAAGAATTTGTCATCTGTTTTGTGGTATTCCATGTTGTAGTAACCAAGGCCATTGGCTACTATGTATAGCTGCTCAGAGCTTTGGGAAATTCCTTAGCATGTGTCTCTATCAAGTTCTTTTCTTCTTCCAGACGCTGGCAGGATTACCAGATCAAGACACCTTCTACGACGTGGTCGACTGCCTGGAGGAGCTGGGCATTGCTGTGGTGTCCCAGAGACACTTGAACAAGAAGGGCACTGACCTGGATCTAGTGGAGCAATTTAACATTTATGAGGTAACAATATCTGCTGTCTGTAAATCAGTGTACAGCTGAAGCAAATGTCAAATGATGAGGGTCACAGATACCTAGACCAGGGTTCTGAGTGGTGGAACACCCACATCACAGGGAATTTTCTGGAAGTGCATGTTCTCAGACCTCATGCAGCCAAGACTCTAGAGACGGGGCCCAGCAATCGGCACTGTAGCAAACCTTCCACAAAAGTGATTCATTTCAGTCCAAGAACGTTTGATGTCATGGGATCCTGGAGCTGTTCTATTCTGAGGAACAAGCATTCTCACAGCATTATCCTTACTCAAGGGAAAAGACATTGGAAAGACAACAGGCTCAGAGGCAATAGATACAAAGAGAAGTTCAGCTTTGTGTTTTGTAGGTCTTAGTGCAAAGTGAAAACTTAGGGTCTTTTGTGGAAAAAAGTACTATTAAAGATACTAAGTGACTTTTACTTCTGTAGACTTTCACCTTGTTAGTAATGTTTTTCATTTGGTACATTATAAGGAAAGAAAAATCGAAATTTGAAATTATTACAATGGATTTTGCTGTTCATCTTTATGTTGTGTAATGTCAGTTTAAAATGCAAATATGAGAGCATTTGTGTACAGAGTCAACAAAATAGTCTAACTCATATTTTGAAACATTTTATATGCATGTGTTTTATTCTTACCAGAACAATGGAAAAGCTGTGCAAAATGAACTGTTTTTGTCTTTTGATGTGTGTGTGTTCTACCAACACTTGGCTTTGCAAGCACTTACTGATAAGCAAAGAAGGACTGCAAAGGGAATTCTGGGCTGCACTGTCTTTTCATTTTGTTCTGTCACCATTTCAGCATGAGTGGTTAGCTAAGATGGGAAAGAAACACAAATGAGAAAGGTGATGATAAGGCTCATTGGGTTTCATCCTTCTGTATTCGCCTTCAAATATCATTCAATGGAAGCAGGGCTCTCAGGGTTCTGACACCCGTGCTTACGAAATTGTGAGCCTCACCAATGCCTGTGTGGTCCACCTGACTTCTACACTCATGAGCAACAGGAACAGCAGGCCTGCATATTGCCTCTGTTCCTGCACACGGTCCTCAGTGCCCCCAGCCTCCACTCACAACCCAAGCTCACAGATAAAATAAATTCCCAAGGGCAACAGAAGATGATTAACTCAACTGAGTTACATGGTGTTACAGTACAGGTTCTCCTATGTCCTGAGTCTTCACTGACGTAGAAAGGCTATGGCCAAAATGTTGGCTGTCCTTGCAGCCCTTCTTTTTCTCTAATTTTTGGTCTGTGAACTTAAATTGTTAACCATCCATAAGAGAAGCTTATTAATATTACCCTACAATATAGGCAGTTAAGCTTAACTTCACTATCTGTCTGAATATAAAACATCTTAGGCATAACATGTAACAGGTATTTTCCATTAACTATTGACATGTTAAAATTTTCTGATCAAGGAGATTATGGGGCCACAGAGGAAAGTGATCAGTGATGTAGAGTGTGCCTAAGAAGAGTCACATGGAGAGAAAACATTCTCTCAGGCTTTCACAGACAGCAAATTGGTCAAGCAATGGCCGTGACTCATCCACATGGCTGGCACTCACAAAGGATCTACAAACTGTGGTACAGGATTTCAGGATAAATCCTGAGGAGATTTGACTGACCTTGTCAGATACAAAAGTTACATTAATTACATAGGTCTTGCTTTATCTTGGTATTAACCATCCAGCAGAAAAGTGTAAAAATGAAGTATAAAAAGGAAAGCCATATTAATATGCTGAGCTGTAAAAGGCTCAAGTGAACAACTTCTTCTTCCTCTTCTTCTTCCTCTTCTTCTTCCTCTTCTTCTTCCTCTTCCTCTTCCTCTTCCTCTTCCTCTTCCTCTTCCTTCTTTCTTCTTTCTTCTTTCTTCTTTCTTCTTTCTTCTTTCTTCTTTCTTCTTCTTCTTCTTTTTTTTTTTGTGGAACTGGAGATTGAACTCAGGCCCTTGCGCTTGCCAGGCAAGCATTTATTCCACTGAGCCATCTCCCCAGCCAAGTCAACAACTTCGGTTATTGCCAGTCTTACAGAAAACCCCCTACTATTATGGACTACTGGACTACTTTGGAATATTTTGCTAAATTCAGGCTTCTACAATATTTAAATGGCAATGGAATACCCTTCTCTGACAAAACTAAAAAAAGGGAGATACAAATGAATGACCAGTTTGTATGTGTATGTTCAAAATAGTTAGGATAGATACACAGCTGCATTCTCTTGGATCACTGAATAGAGAGATTTGTTCTAATAGTGTTTGTGGACAGGGTATCATGCCTGCATCTTGTACAATGAATAACCACTAAGACACTATGCAATATATTAATTATTGAAACTGTGCTAGTAATTGGTTTTGAAACTGTCTTATTTCTATTTGTTTCTCAATATTTTTTTTTTAAAGATGATTAACTCAAACATGGGTCCCTTCTGAGTGTGGGCCTCGTGCAACCTTGTGGTCCCACACCTGTGTCCTGGTGTCTGCTTTGGGTTCCGTATCTCTGTTTCATGGCCTGGCGACTTGACAAAGTGGACCATTCTGTTATGATTTTACCTAAAACACCTTATTCTGTGGGCTGGCAGCAAGGAATAAGATTATCAACTCAGAGTTGGCTGCTCAGAGGTGTGGGCCACTATCTAGCTCTACTAATAATTTCAGGCTGTGGTGGTTCATTTGAAGCAGGTAGATGACTGGGGCAAACCTTGTGGCTCCTCAGGCTCTTTCTCCATGTATCAGATGTATGCCTTCTGACTCAGAATAATAGGCAAGGCCTGTAACTGAGGTTCACTCTCTTTCATAGCTCAGCATCAAAGCTCATAAATCCTTAAATTCTAGGGTCACTTACTTAAACAATCCTTAGCCAGGGACATCTTGCTAAGAGTATTCAAGAAAAACCTCTCAGCAAGTGTCCTTAGTCTATTTATTAGGTAGCCTTGTTGTTAGCATGCCTACTGTGGGTTACATTGGGCATTGCCTGCCTTCATCCTTTCCTCTATGAAATATTTTTCCTATAAGAACAAGAGAAGAATCACAGGTCAGCTGCACTATGTTTTAGCTCCTTCTACCCAGTGTATGCATAGATATTGTATTAATTACCTACTTCCAAATGCTTTATTATCAAAATTGTATTATTTGCATATTTGTATCATTCTACAGTGTTCCCTGGCATTAATGCTTTTGAGACCTATGCAAAAACTTGGAAGTCTAGATTTTAATTTTCACTGGTAGTGAGCTCATCACAATTTATCTGTTTTTTTTTTTTTATTAGCTACTGAGTGGTTTACAGTTTTGTTGGCATGGAAAATAAGTATGATGCTGTGATTTCTTATATACTTCTCTTTTGGGTGCATACAATAGTTGAGATGTTTAGCTATCTGTTTTATGCATACTTCAAAACTTTTAATTTTTTTCTCTGTGTGCTAAAAAAATAAGAGGCATTTCATTCTTTGGATTTTTTTCATGGTGTGTTAGGATTCCCTTGGTAAATTCCATGGACCATGGTGGTGGGCATTTATGCATATATGTGTGCATGCATGTATCCATGCTGAAGAAAGTAGTGAAATCATTGCTAACAATATTTTCCTATGAAAGTGGATCTTTTAAACTTTTCTTTCTTCTTTTTTTTCTGTATTTAGGACACGGGCTCTACAGGGTCTCACTATGTAGATTGGACTCATAATGATTCTCCTGTTTTCAGCCTCCCAAGTGTTGGGATTACAGGCATGCCACCACACCCAATCTCAGTTGCCCTCTCAGTGTGCCCTGGGGGTGGGGCCAGCTCTGCATGCCTGGGATCAAACCTGGCCACTGTGCTCTGCCTAAGCAGGTGCTTTAGTCTGCTGATAAACTTTTCTTTAATGGGATTAATTTGATAAATTATAATTTCCTAAGAAATTATGTTTGGATTTTTAAATTCATTAGCAAAGAGATATATAGTCTCTTATGGATGTTTTTTAATTTTCTCTTTCAGCAGCCATTTTTCTTTGTTGTTTTGTTATTTTATGTTTGTAATTTTTTCCTTCTAGATTAACTAGCAGTTTGTCTATTTCATTGATTTTTCTCCAAACATTAATTTTTATTGTTATATATGATTTACACTGCTTTTGTGCTTTTTCTTTTTTTTTTTTTTTTTTTTTGGCGGAACCAGGGATTGAACTCAGGCCCTTGCGCTTGCCAGGGAAGCGCTTATTCCACTGAGCCATTTCCCCAGCCCCTGCTTTTGTGCTTTGTACCTCAGTAAGTTTTGCTTTTACCCTTATATTTTTCTTCTTTTATTTTTACATTGTCCAGTTGGGTATTTTTCATCTTTTAATCATCCTTGCTTTCCTAAAATATTACACACTTAGTCATGATATATTCTTTCTTTTAAATGTGTGGTTTGATTCTGTTTGATATACCAGTATTTTTACAGCGTTATTTATAAGTAAGATTGGTTTGTAGCAGCTCCTCCAGTTCCTTCTTATTCGTTGTACATCCTGTTTATCAGCTCGAGCTCACTGTTTTGCTGACATCATAGGAGAATTCCTGAGTACTCCTGCTCATTGTATCTGGTCACTGCGTGTACAGTTGTCTCCAAAGCTCTGCTCTGATAGCACTTTCTCAGTGTCCCTCTCCCAAATCCTCCCCCTCTGTCCACAGCCTTTCATCATCAGAATGTCCTTATCATTCCTCCTCTGCCCTAGTACTTACTTTCACACAACATGACTTTCTGCCCCCGCTTTTCCCCTGCTTGCCATTTTGTATTCCTTTTATTCATGTGGAGCCCATTATAGGTGGCAGGCTCTTCTGAGAATAGAAATACACAGCTTAGGTACATTCCTGTCCCCCAAGAATCTCCATTTAGTCTAAGACAAGGTAGGTAGCCAATGTAGAAGCTAACCATGGTGGCGCAGAGGGACAAAGAAGGTGCCAGAGGTCTCTATGTCTGACAGATTCACTAGAAAGCCATGCATAAAATGCCACCAGCCCTAAATGAAGC